CTAAAGCTACTTGTAAGGCCAGTTTTGAAGATAAAACCATACTCTATTTAAAAAAGAAAAAAAAAACTACTGCTAATCTGTATGAAACTGTATCTCCTTAATATTGGTGCAATCAACTAATTCAAATTTCTTCATTGCTGAGAACATTTTAATATTGTCCTGTGGGGAGAACGATACTTCTGCTCTACATACTGGTTGCACTTTTTCTCAAGAAATTATTTATCTGTCTCTTCCTTCTCTTCCCCTTTCTCCCCTTTAGTGTGTGTGTCTTGTGGTAGTCTACCAAGTTTATTGCAAATTGCTATAAATAGTAGTGTTCAAGGAACCTTTTTAATTGTCTTAATCCTGGTGCCCAGGATTCCCTGTATGTACACAGCATATACATCGACCCAAAGAGTTTAGTCTAAACTGGATGTAGTGCATCTTTCAACATTTTTTTTTGATAAAAAAGACCACAAGCTATCCCATGCCTGGAGCTGACAGGGGTGGCTTTGGGTGGTAACTTCTACCAGGGCAAGGAGTGATCTGGGAAGAAGGAGCCATCCTCATGCTGAATGCTCTGCATTTTTGACTACTTGGAAGCATTAAGCAACCTGACAGCTTGTCCATAATTAAAGGATTTACTAAGATAGGTCTGTGATAAAGTGACTGCAATGCTAAGATGCAGCAGCACTTTTTCTTTCTGCTATCATTTATATTAACTCCCAGAGGAAAATCAGTTGTGCTAATTAGGACTTGTAAGTCTAAATGCCAATATGTAACTGCAAGGTACAGAGGAAAAAGCTCTTCAGGAATGATTTCTTTCCTGTACAAAGAACACACAGCAAAGCAGTTATGTAAAAGGTTAGTCCGAAACCAGTGGCAGGAAACAACCATTTTAAAAATATATTTGGTAACATTTATCTGTTGCAGAATGCATTTTGGACATTGCCTCTTCTTGAATAAACACTTGTTATTTGTTAATTTCGAAATATCACGCAGTACATCTGAGTCTCTGTTGTTCATATCAATGGAGAAGGGAAAATGAAAGATGAAGGTAAAAGACCTTTTGACTCATTCTAATGCTAAAGTTTAGACATTCAAGAACACAGAGATTTGCTTTTTTTTATCTCCCTGAGCTCTTACCTATCCATGCAACTGAGATATCAAATAAATTACTTAAGAATAGTGAGATAAAAATAATTTCTAGTAAACTGCATTTTCATTAAGTGGTTGGTTAGATATTGATGTTTAAACAACTGTAGAAAGAAAATCAATAATGAATGCAGCAGTTTTGAGGAAAGTCTTTAAAAATAGCACTTCTTTTAATGTCCATGGTGAAGGAAAAAAGTCAGTGATATTATTACCTGTCTAAAATAGCCAACCTATAGCTAATTTCTTTCATTTGATTAAATATGATCTTGAACAGTTATTTTTACTTTATGTGATATGACATAGCTTTAAATCAGTATTTATAGAGTGTGACAGCCAAGTATTTGAGGTACTGATTAAAACCAGCAGCAACTAAGGCCCAGGAAACAGGGTGAACTAAAAAGTGCACAAACCCTCAAAAGCTGTACAATATTATCCTACAGACCTAGAAAATAACTGAGACCTGCAGATTATTTGCAGCATTTTAATGCAAAGACTCATGCAACTAGAACAAATGTTCCTTTAGTGCTATGAAAATTGTGATATAGCTTTCTTGAAACATGCCTGACATCCATGAGTCTGTTCTTCATGCCCATCCTTCACTGCCCTCTGAATCCAGGCCCTCACCTGTGTTGGTCTTAGCCATTAATTTTCTCCAGCTGATCATACAAAACAGAGACTGGGAAAATTCTAGTGTGTCTCAACAGATAATAAACTTGGAGATTCAAGGAATGCAAATAGCCAGGTTATAGTAATATATGTTGTACTTTGTTGTCCATCCTACTTTGGGTTAACCTAGATTCTCAAAATTAGGTGTCTGTCAGACATGCAAGAGCTAATACTCACTCTCATCTTCTGCCTCAAAATCATGCATTGCGAGACACTGCAAGAAAGGACTATGTTAGGAGATTTGATTCCCAAGAAAAATACAGGTTTGAAATCTGTATATATTTGTAGCTGTGACCCAACAAACCTATAACCAGCCAGAGACAACTTTGTAATAATGATTTGGGCCCTAGCAGAGTGGTAACTTCCAGTTGAAACTATTTAGTAGCAAATATTTTCTTGGCAAAATCCAAGCATTTTATGCTAAAAATAACAACTTCATGAAAAAATATAATTGTTTTTCTACTGAGAAAAAATTAAAATGAAGTACTTGGTTTCAGATTTGCTTGGATAAAATTGTTTTGTTAACCAACACCATGTTCCAGCATCTGTGCCCAGGATTCACAGCTGCTGACGTGCAAGCAGCAGTTCTGGTCATGGATGCCAGAACTCTGTCCCAGAGCAGAAGAGAGGTATTTAATTCCACAGAGGAAGCACAGTGTTGAACACGATGTTCTCATTGTTGTTCCTGTTGTCTAGTTTGTGGTCTCTCTACCTCCTTCCTCCTCTATCCCATGCTGTCAATCCTATTCTGGGATTTTGGGCTCTTCCCAACCCAAGTGCTCAAGCAACGCCCTTGGGTTTCTGAATTCCTCCCAGTGAGTGGGGCTTTCCTTGCCAGCTTGCATCCAAATCCCCTGATCTTTCCATTCTGTTTACTTACCCGAGGTTTTAATCTAACATTTTTTCTCTTGCTCAATTTCCTGCTTGCACTTCTCCTCTTTCCTTGGCTGGTACTCTATTCAGTGACTTCTGGGCATAGTTATTTCCTCATTTTATTGACTAATCCTGCACCCATCTTTGTGCCATGGGAGAGTTTCATCCCATGTATGTACCTGCCTTCTTCCAGGTCATCACAACACACTGGAGGCAGTCTGGCTGGCAGTACTAATCCTGGGTAACTGAAACTGGGATTCAGTCTGTCAGAACTTACAGGACAGAAGACTCTTAAAGAGAGAACTGACAGCAGGAAAGGGCAAGACTGGAGAACAAAATGTCTTTTGAAAATACAGAGGAGGAAAAGATGAAAAAAAAGTAGTGAGAGAATAATCAGTTTCAAACTGACTTTGAAACTATGGCATGAAAATCTAAAGTGAAAAAAAACCAAACCACAGCTCTAACCTTCCAACTTCCAAAATGACAAGACACTTTCTACTGGGGAGCCCGTTGTTCATTAGGATGTACACTCCTTTAATTAGCTTGAGAGTTCCCATCTTAGGAAGACAGAAGAGATTTCTGAAGGTCTTTTTGTGCTCACATAAAGTCACTGTTGCCAAAATAATATCTCATATACACAGCTACTTTCGGCACAAGAATTTTCAGCCTGCAGCAAATGTGTAAAATTTAATCTAGTTTAACCCTCTGCACTTAGGCTGACCTAATTCCAGTGGCTATGCATTTGTGGTGGGTTAAAATGCACACACAGCTGCTGTGATGAGGATGACATGGAGTGCATTACCCCATGATTTACCATTTTCATGGATATGTTTCAGAGAGTCTACAGGCACCTTGTGTAGACCTTCTAGACTCAATGGGAACTTTTTCCTTCATGTGATGGGTCCTCAGGATGAGTCCTGCGATGACAAAAGAGGCCACTTTCTGTCTAATTATCCCCTTGCCAAAATATTTAATATCTTCTAGCCAATGTGAAATCATTGGGATGGGAGACTGCTTCCAGTGCTAAGGCTATTGATATCAGTAAATGACTTGTGCGCACTTGCATTTTGCCAGCACTGTGCTGTCGATACAGGTCAATAACAGACTTATCACAAAATAAATGATATGTGCCTGTGGTAAGCTGCAGCTCCAGTCTAAATAGAGCAAGTAATTACAGAGGAAAACAATTTCTCCTTTAGATGGTTTTTAAGAGCACAAAGGATAAGTCAACTCTGGCACTGCTGATTTAGCAGGAATCTGGTGGACCTCAGTAGAGGAGAAATATTATCCCTCCTGCCTCTGGGTTTGTGGTAAAATTCTAACAATGCGTTCTTAAGAGACCCCTCAAAGCACATCACTGTGTGTAATTCATTAGCTCAGCTGCACCTGAGGTCTTGGATTTTCTGGACAGGGTGTGCTTCTGCAAAGTGACTATAAAAAAAATAGAGACCAGGCTCAAGTGCAATTCTCCAGAGGAAGTCCAGATGGCTACTGTAAAAATGCAATCAAAAAAGGCCTCTGGCCTTTATGATTTGTAGACTGATTTAAATAGGAAATATCAGAACATTTTCTCTCCCAAATCATGAGAGGATTTTTCAGTATGAAAACAACAATCTGTCACTCAATTAAAATTTGTTTTTGCCACAAACCATAGGGAACTTGGATGGTGAAGGACAGAAAGTGTCACTGACAACCCAATTTGTAATTTTTAATCTTTTGGATTGGTTTATTCTCTTTTCTTTAACATTTAAAAAAAATATTTGACTAAATATTACAATAGTTGCAGGAAGGTTAGAAGAAGAAGTTTAACTAGATTCGAGGAAGTCAGGGTCTGAGCAATTAACACTACATTTGTGGTTGGTCAAAGATACAATTTCAAAAATCTTAGCAGGTGCAAAGTGATGCTACATGGGGAGGTGGTACAAAGTCTTTGTTGCTGTATTACAGTGTCTGAATGCTTCCTAATGAACACAAAGGTAAAATCTGGAGGATATAAAGCAACAAGTGTTGGCATATCTTTTGAGAAAAAGTCGCACAAGAGATTATTTTCTAATGTTTGTGCACACTGTGGCCAGTACGGAACACTTAACCAAAAGAAAAGGATTAATAATTAATGTCTTATCTTTCACAATGTACAATTAAACTGTGATACTCATTTTTACAAAATACTGAGGTCAAGAGTTTTGCAGCGTTAAAAGAAAGATTATATCTTACAAGGATAATACTAAATCAAATGGGGTGGAAAAAAATTCAGGTAATACACAACCTCCCTGCTGCAAGCACAGACATCTCCTAATTAATAATAAGACAAATATTCCTCTTGGTAGGTTATCCTGTAAGTGTTCACCATGGAGATTCCTGATGCCCTCTCCCTCTGCCAAGAACAAACCTCTGAGACAATGACCACACCAGCAAACCACCAGATCATGCCCAGGTCCCCAGGTACTCGAAAGGACTTCACCTAAAGACGGGCCCATCAAAATTACTGTGACTTTAAGAGAAGAACACTGTCTCAAGCATGACTAGGTAATTACCTTCAGTTCTTGTACTGCCTGTTTTGTCTAAAAATATGACATTTTATTCTAAAAAGGGCCAAACAAGATGGGTAACCACTGGGAGGGGATGGGATAAACAGTACAAGGGATCTTACCTGTACAAGGGGGCTAGTACCTAAAGAGAGATAGAGTACTCAGGTCTCTGAAGTGTTAATTGACACACACACAGAGACAAATTGTTCCTTAGCTTCTTCCACTGTCACCCATAAGAAATCTGTGGTCATCTGAAAAGGCAGCGTTCTGCTTCAGATTTTCATAAAACATTCTTTCTATGGAAACAAAAAATAAAGCAATTATCTGTGAAATTTTATATACAGAAAATATTTTGCAAAGGTGGACTCCAACAAAGAATGGGAGAGGGAGGAAAGAACAGTCACAATACATGAAATTGTGCTTTCATTAAAAGCATCTTCTTCTGAAAACCAAAATAGCTGACCAAAATATAATTTACTCAGGCATAAAAGAATGAAACAAAATTTAAAATGGAAAATTCCACTGAAATATTTCGTTTAGCTCTGTGCACAGTTATGCTTCCAGGTATGGGGACTAGTAATGAATACTACAAACAAAAGAACATCCTGAGAGGGAGGCATCAAATCAGTCTATAAGACCTGGTCTCATTTGTTATTCTTGATCCATTGACTTCTCACATGAATACAACTCCTCCCTCATGCCCAGGATCCTATCATGCCTCTAATTTGCTTAGATTACAATTTCATATTTCCCCTATGATAACAGCATTATAGTAAATTCCAGGGATTGCAGTTTGGGCATGAGGCTTACTGTGGAGATGCCTGGGAGATGAAGTTGCAATAAGTGGTTCATGAAGCTTCATTGAAGGATGAGACACTCCATGTGAGAATAAAAGCAAGGCCAGCAGCTAGAGCTCAGAGGAGGAAATTCAATGAGCCACAGTACATTATATATGAGTTCATTAAATTAGTTGCTAGGTGGGTTAAGAGAGAAATTCCCCTCTCCCATTCAGCACAGCAAAGGTGGAAGAATGAAGCAGCTGCCTACCAAAGACTGCTTTTCTCTGAAGCCTTCAGGACTGCCCATGAGAAAGGTGGGGGGCAGGAAGTGTGGGCTTGCTGCAGTGTCCAGTGCAATCCAATCCCAAGTTCGGAGGAAACATGTCTGCCTCTTCAGGATGTGCGGCGTTTGGGTCACATCCACCAGCTCCATGCAGATAGCTCAGAGGCTTCACTGAAGACCCCTGATGTTCAGGCACCCAGATTGAGCCCTGAGCTCCACTGACTGAAATAGGAGCTCAGACACCTAAATTTAGATGCAAATGTCATTGTCTAGAGATGCAGCTGGAACCTGTAATATGTTATCTGTGGCTGAGTGTTCACTGCTCTGTGAATAGAGGATGTATGATGGTAACATAGAAAGTCCTTGCAAACCAGAGTGCAGGATCTCAAATGTCCTCACATTTTTGTGAAGCAGAACTGTAAATATTTGGTCTGTAAATGAGGTTCTGGAAAAAGAAATTACAGTATTGCAAAATATATCCTTTGAATCTTATCCTGTGAATCTCAGAAGACCTGAGTTGGCAGTGTTTTCTCAGTCAGAATTTCCTCTGCTTTTCATGGGATGATGTACTGTGGCTGCAAGTACCATTGTGGGCAGAGTGGGAAGGAGAGGTGAGCTCTTCCCATAGGCATGGAACAAACCCAGTGAGCATGACATTCCATCCATGCAATGATCTGGGCCCACCCCCCTGACCCATTTGGTCAAGGGGAGTCTGCTCTTGCCTTCCCATGTTGCAGAGCCAAACTTTTTCTGCATCCTCTTCACCAGTTAATGGAGCACAAGGAATTGGATTACATTAACCTCTGTGCTCATACAAAGGAGACAGAAAGACTCACCTCCTTCTTCCTGGCTGCACAGGTCCAATGACATCCTCACCCTGGGGTGCTGTCTTGGCTTGAGTAAACCCTGAATAACATGGACAGATCTGTCTCAAACTACTACTACTTAAACCATTTTTTCAAATGGGTTAATAAGCTGTCTGAAAATCCCATATCAAAGACATAAGGCTCTACATGTGGAATAATGCAGAATGTTTCATTTTCAGATGGATTTTCTCCATTCTGTTTAAATTCTATGACCTTCAGGGAATCAAGTTAGTTCTAGCTTTTAGTTTATAGATTTTGTGTTTGGTATTCAAGGTAAACTTCTTGCTTGATTAGACACAAGCAAATGCTTGCAGCTGCAGTACCACAGTGGAAATGTAGCCCTATACTGTATTTAGTCAGAAATGTCAAGAACCTAGTAGTTATCTATGAATAACTCATTTTGTCTTCCATTAGCAGCACTAAATTTGGTAGTTTTGTTTTCATGTTGCGCAACATAAAAATGTCATAAATTGGAACACATGAGATGATTTGAAGATGACCATCCCTATTTACAAAGGGAGTACCATTCTGTGGTTAATTCATTATCAACATCACTACAGAAACAGGAAATAAAAGTTCAAGCAATTTGGAAAAATATTTGCCAGCTATAAGAGCCATGCAAACCATCCTGGTAACACTGTAAATGGATGCTAAAAATTCCAGAAGGTTGAACAAAATAAAATTCATATTATGTGGCACACAAGAACAAAATAAAATAAACCAAATACAAGGGAGCAAGTCAGGTTCAGAAAAAAATACCAGTGTTGTGTTTGCCCCTGATTAGTTGCTTAAGATGCGCTGGTGCTGGCAGAAACTGGCCTGTCCAGACAGCTGTCTGTGCCAATGTCTGCAGAGAGTCTTGTAGGGACATGGTACATGTCCTTTGGCCACCTAATAGGTGCCATGGTTTGTGACACACCTTTTGCAAATGCTGTGTTGGACACATATCTGCAGCTCTTGAGATAATGAGGTGCTCCAGATGAGACCTGCTGTACCTGAAGTTGGCTGCTCCCAGGGGCTGCCAAAGCTGAAAGCAATCTCACGTCCAGCTTGAGAAAGTATATGCTCCAGAGTGTTTTGAGGCTGCTTCAGATCTCATTTATCTTGGTAGCAGAGTGTGACAGCGCTCTCTCTTGTAGGAAGGGACCATTTCTGTATCTGCTGATGGGCAGTGACATGAAACCAGGCCAAAAGAAATGGGTGAAGGTTTCAGGCCAGACACAGAGTGCTACCCATGGGCAGGCAGGGCAGTCCTTGAAGAGGCTTTAGTATTGCCCTGGGAGGTATCATTAGCTTGTCTCAGAGACATTTCCTGGGACCTTACCTATGGCTTGGTCTCCATTGTATAGTCATGTCAGCATTTCCAGGAAAATATCACTGTTAAACAGCTGTTTCATGTTCCCAGCTCCAGTGTCAGCATCAGCTTCAAGTCAGACCTTTGCCTTACAATGTTTGGTTTACAAATATTACTGACTTTATATCTGAGTGAAGAGAGACAAATTTAATTTGCAGTCAAAGTAAACACCTTTGAAATGACCTTGGCTAGTACATGGTTGTTATGCGTCAGTTTGAAATGAGAATACATATTGGCTGCTTCTGTTGATGCACAGCTCAAGTGCAGACTTGAGAGCTTGTTGACTGGGAACATTCAGATATGGATCAGGGAAAGAATGTTTTCACATACAGCTTCCTCCTCCACCTTTTCTCTACTTCCTTTAATATGATTTTCAGATATTTCCCCAAGACACTGGTAATAGTATGTGTGCAAAGAAAGCCTATTTAGAGTTTTTACAAGCCATTCTAAACACATATTCAAAAGACTTTTTGATGCTATTTTTCTTCACTTACTAAATCAGGATTCAACCAGCTTTTTATTTTTAGGAGTTGCCAGAGTAAACTAGAAAAAATAAATATAATTTAATGCCTTGGTATTTGAAGAGATCTGATCTTGCAGCATATACTAAGGTATATAGTGTACCGAAATTTCAGCAAGATAGATAAAAAGTACTCTTTGTAGGGAAGGTCCTAAAATTGTCATCAGAATTTCAACTTCTCACATCTGTGTGGGCATGCAAGGGATCTTGAGACTCACTTTGTTTATTGAGGAAGATAAGGAAGGTAAGTGTCATCTAGAATTCCACTGTGGTGTGGATGTCCAGAAAATATCTGTAGCTCAAATCTGTCTGCAAGCATCAGGGGGACCAAATAATATGCTTTTGATACCAGAGACTGTCCTGTACCCATTGGAGGTGATCATCAGTGGGGCTGGGTAGGCTGTAGGCTCTGAGATGTGAAGTGCATGGGTCTCGTAAGACTTGTTCTGACACTGTCTGTGGACATTCCCAGTGCAACTATTCTCTTCTTGTACTAATTTGTCCAACAATGCCCTGTCCATCACTAAAAATATAAGTATCTCTCAACTGTGGTGATTGAGGGATTTCTTCCCATTCTGGGGACTGAATGTCTGCTTGCACCCTTGCAAGTACCCAAGGAGCACAGGCTGCTCCAGAGGAAGTTGTAGTGCAAATATAACTTGGTTATGTTGTACCCTGGAAAAGGTTAACTTAGTGTTGCTTCTGGGCTACTGTAACCAGCATTGGCCTCCTCACAATGCCTGGGAAAGCTGAACCTATCTATATTATATCACTGTGCTGTTCTTGATGGTGGGCTCAGTTTGTGCTCTGCTGAAAGCTGACGGCATGAATGGGGCCCTGACTGGAAGGGAGCGTTTGGACAAACTCCTGTAGGGTTGGCTGGGCATCATGGCTACGTTTGCTGAGCAAAACATACAGTCCTGCTGCTGAATTGCAGCAGGAAGTAGTAGTCCTTTAGATCACCATGAAGATCCAGAGGAAGAAACACACCAAAACCCCATGTGATGTGGAGGCTCCTCCCACTGGGCCATATTTATCATTCCTTGTGGAAGGACCATCTCCCCATCATGGGGGGTTGGCTTCTCCTCTGGGAATCTGTCATGCACAAAGAACAGCCACCTCCTCCTGCCTGCCCATGACTCCCTTCTGAAAGCAGTAGCATATACAGTAGTTTGCAAGCAAATAAATAAATTTCA